GTAGCATCAGACGGATTAAGAAGAATAATTGATGTACATGACGCTGCGAATAGGAAAAGAGCTCCCCTTCTGACCCTGTCATTAGATGCTGAGAAAGCATTTGATAGGGTCAGATGGGACTTTCTGGGAAACACATTGAAATCATATGGCATAGTAGGAACAGTCTATGATGCCATTATGGCACTATACACAGTTCCTTCGGCAAGGACCAGTGGCCCTGGGATAGAGGCAGATTGGTTTACTATTAAAAACGGAACCAGGCAAGGATGTCCTCTTTCCCCGTTACTTTATATTCTGACCATTGAGCCTCTTGCAGAAGATATAAGACAAAACGGAAAGATTGAGGGGTTTTGGCTTAATAATCTAGAACATAAGATTAATCTATATGCGGATGATGTCATGCTTATGATGCAGAATACTAGATCATCATTGCCGGAATTGATAAGAATACTAGATCATTATAGTGTATTCTCAAATTATAAATTAAATATTAACAAGACCACAATAATGACAACTAATTTATCCAGGAAAGATAAGGATTTTATTAAAATATCCTATGATTTTGTCTGGGTTAAGGAATATATCTCATTCCTTGGCATAAAAATAACAAGAGATATGAATAGAGTTATTGAAGTTAATTTTCTTCCTCTTATAAAAAATACTAATAAATTATTAAAAGAATGGGCAGGCAAGGAGATTTCTTGGATAGGCCGCATAAATACTATTCGATCATATATTTTGCCTAAATGGAACTATCTTTTTAGAATGATACCTATACAAGTTCCCAATCCATGGTTAAAAATGATACAATCAGCCTTTTCTAAATTTATTTGGAAAGGTAAAAAACCAAGAATAAGTTTACAGTTAATATCTAAGAAAAGAAAAGAGGGAGGTCTTGCTGCCCCAAATATAATTGAATATCATGACGCATGTATGTTGGCCCATACTGTTAACACATTAAGTATAGATCAAAAAGATCAATCTTGGCATCATATAGAGCAATCACTAGTAGAGACAAGCAGCCTATCCTCCCTGTTTTGGACAACAAGGAGGAACTTAGAAAAAAATAATTTGGTTCATCCAGAAAATTCGACAATTATAGATAGTATATGGAGATTCTGGTATAGATTTAAGAAAAATTATAAAATAGAATATAGATTATTCCCTTTTCTACCCATGGAGGTGATTAATAATAATATTGATGATATTAATATTAGAGGTTGGATACAAAAAGGTATTACGCACATTCAACAAATTATAGACGTAAAGGATCTTAAGTCATTTAGCCAGCTACAGGTAGAATTTGGGATTGAAAGTAAGGAGGTTTTTACATATTTGAGAGTTAAGTTTTATTTGACGAAATTCTTGGATATTCAGCTTAATAAAAATATAAGTAACATTAAGAAGATTATGGAAACATATAGAACTAAAGGTCATATTTCTAGATGTTATGAATTCTTAAAGCTATCCCAGAAGGCTCCTCTTTGGAAATCTAAGAGTAAGTGGGAAAAAGATTTACAAATAGTAATCTCTGAACAAGATATGATAAATGCGATAGAGAAAGTTAATAAATCGGTACACTGCTTGAACATAGTAGAGAATTTTTATAAACTCCTAAATAGATGGTATATGGTCCCAGAAAAATTGGCTAAAATGTATCTAGATCAGAGTTCTTTTTGTTGGCGATGTGAAGATGCGAAAGGAGATTATCTCCATATTTGGTGGCATTGTACAGTTTTAAGTAAAATATGGAAGGAGGTATATAAGCAGATTTATAACTCATGTCAGCTAAATATACCTTTTACACCACAAAGTTTTTTGTTACATCTGGGATGGCCTTCTATGTCCCCTGAGAAACAAATGTTGATAATTCATATTTTAATGGCAGTAAAGTTAGCGGTGGCTAGAAACTGGAAAAGTAAAAAAGAAATACAGTGGAGTGAAATTAAAATACAGGTAATATATCAATGTAAGATGGAAAAGGGATTAATTTTAGATAACTCTGTAGGTTTGAAGAAATACAGTAAATGGGAAATAATGGTTGATAACTTTATTACTAACTATTAGAACTTATAATTCTTAGGATACGAGCCGCCCCGAATGCGAGACTGACTCTCGAGGAACTTTAGTAACAATGTACCTTATGGGAAGGCCGGGAAAAGTGGATAAGTGTAGGATTGGTTCCCCGGGATTGTATGTATGTGTGAATGTAAAGTTTTAGGTATTTTTATCTACCTCTTTTTGCAATCTATGTGAACTATAGATATGAATATTTATATTCGTTGTACAATGGAAATGTTGTTTATATACGGAAACATATTAGAAATGTAAATGTTGCAACAGAGGAATTGATTGTACTATGTAAATTGTGAAATCTTGAAAAAATAAAATATAATAAAAAAAAAAAAAAAAAATTTATTTTGAATTACTTTTTCTAAGCTGGACATATTATGCACACGCTATTATTGCCAAAACTGTGAAAACATTTATTTTTTGTTGTTTTTTTATTCATGTTAAAATACATTTAGAATGAAGTTACACACACACACACACACACATATATATATATATATATATATATATATATATAATACATATATATATTGTATTTATCTATATACATATAATTACAATAATAAATAAATTGATAAATAAATACAAATATTACAAATACAATAAATTATATATACAGATGTAATTTTATTCTAACTGTATTTTGATATTAATATATATATATATATATAAACATATATATATTGGTAACAAAATATACTTACAATTAAATGTTATATATCTATATATATAAATAAATAAAAACCAATTGCAAATATATGTATATGAATATATAATTACATAAGTATACATGTAGAATTTAAATACGTATATATATATTAACATTTCATGTGTATATTTATGTAATCTTTTAACATAATTATGTGATTTTATTAATTACAATTTGAGGGACGTGCCTAACAACCCAGGCAGAACGTCCAGAGAATTTAATTTGCAAGCCCTATATTTAACTCTGTAATGTTCCAAAGCAGCCTAAAACCTGTACATGGGGGTTCTGTTGTACTTGGGAGACTTCGCTGAATACAAATATGAGTGTTTCAAAACAGTAAAATGTATCATAACGATGATGTCAATAGTGAAAATGCAGTTTTCGTGTGAAAAATGCTAAAAACTAATATGAACGCTAACTTTGGCCAGCGTTTCTGACTAAGTGACTACCAAAAAAGACTGGACATATCACATTTTGAATTCACTGGGTTGTCTACTTTTTCAAATGATATGCCATAAGGGGAGTAATTTTCTTTCCTGGGCTGCTATACGGTCTCAAAGCAACATAACCAATTTGGCAAATTTCTATGTGAAAAAACGGAAAAAGGGAACATGCTATATTTGATCCTGTAATTTTCCAAAACCCCATAAAACCTGTACATGAAGGGTACTGTTATACTTGTGGAACAACACTGAACACAAATATTAGACATGTGCAATTCGTGCCCATGCACATCCCTAACAAATATGTTTTTGTTTTTTTTGTAGTAAAGTCATTATATCTCTAATTGTCTACATAAGAGCACTGGGGGTATGTATTTTTCATTATCTAGACAATGTTTTCATAGCAGCTGCCAATAGCATATTGCCAATAGTTAAGTTATTTCTACTTATTAAATATTTTTTTGATACAATAAACAGCTCAATCTCTCTTTGAAAAGAAAGAAAAGTAAGAATGATTTCAAAGGTTGAACACTTCAGAAGGAAACTTTCTGTTCCTGAGTTTAACAGGAACCTTTGCCTCCACCATCATAGTAAGGTGGGGGCACCTCACTTATGCTCAACTCTTATGCAGTATTACTGGACTTATTCAGCCTGACTTTAGAAGAATGGAACCAGAGTATTGTTATTCGTGGTTACTTAAAATTAGATTGGAATTGGTGATAAGCGTTACGGAATCAGTTGGAGCTAAATAGATGGCGATAATAATAATAATATCCAGAGGAAAAATTTACTGTAGGTTTCCATTGGAAGATGTGAACTAAGTGACAATTAGCATCGATACATGGAATGCATCTGCACAAGAAAGATGGCCTTAAGGCTAGAGCAATATATCAAATGTTCTAGAAATTAAAGCTGGTTATCAATCTCTTCTACAATATCTTGTGCAGGGTTATTGCGTGGCAATCATGCTGGCTGCATCCTAAGTAAAAAGGCAGGGAAGTACAAAAAGCATGATTCTCATCAAGGAACTCTCTCCCATCATGCCTCTGGTGCAAAAACTTGCTCTGGATATATTTGCAACATATCTCACAGAAAAAGAAAACAAGCAAGCAGATTTCCTGAGCACAGTAGAGGTAGACATTACAGAGTGGAGACTGAATCCCACAGTCTTCAACATAATAGTCCACAAATTAGGCAAACATTAATAGACTTAATTTCCTCAGTGAAAAATATCAGATCCTAGAATTCTTCTCCATGAGGTTCCAACGTTTGGTAAAAGGGACAGATGCACTCACTTTGAAGTGGATGTTTTGGCTAGAATATCTGTTTTCTCTCATGCCCCTACTTTGGCATATCCTCAGGAAAATCAGGAAAGAGCGCATGGAGGTAATTGCAATATTACAGTTTTGGCCGAAGAGGGCATGGTTTCTGCTGGTTCTACATATCACGAGGAACCTCCTTGGGAACTTCCCATTATCAAATCTCTTCTATCACAGGGTTAAATATTACATCAGTCTCCAAGCAGGTTTTTGGGGAAAAAAAGGTTGCGCCAAATATAGAAATTCTTAAAGTTCATTATGAGCTATAAGTCAATAGAGACTAGTACATAAAACAAAATTTTGTGCAAGATCATGAAAACATCATCAAAATATATAATAGCGGGGGCGTGGCCAACACGGAGCAAGATGGTCGCATAGAAATCTGCTCCGGCACCTGGGCATCCAATCTAACGTAATCCCATTACTCAAAGCTGCATCCAGCAACCTACCATTGCGATGTCACAGCACAAGAACAAGAAGGGCTCGGTGAAAACTGAAAAGCAAAATTTTTTCAGCCAGCAATCGGCTCCTGCAGCTCCGGCGGACCGGGCCTCAAACGACAATGAGGACCCTAAGTCGGATGACAGCAAGCAAAGTTTGAGATCTGGTGCACCGCTAAACAACCAACAAATCACCAAGGCTGATCTCTCTGCAGCCTTAGAGGCATTATCGCACAAGCTGATAACAACCTGGCAACACACGGCAGACTCTATGAGAAAAGACATACAAGAGCTGGGGAAGCGAACAACCAACATGGAGGATAAATGCGATGAATTCGCCACGGCGCACAACGACCTAGCCACCACTGTAGAACACAGGGAATATACATGGCTGGTCCCGCGGATGTACCTTATCATCCACCAAAGGATCAATAGCAGTTGCCGCCCACCCTGACCACGAATAACCTAGCTACATCTAACTTGAAAGCAAACACAGGAATGGGCTATACCCCATGACACACAAATTGGACTCATCTGTTGAAGCCTAAACACACAAGAAAACTGCAGCAACCCATAAGCAAACGCCCAAAGACCACATAAATGGAGGCACCAAAAGACTCCAACCCCCACGGTGTGGAAATCTCACACCTTGTCTCACACCGAGACACATTGTATATAGTTACCATTCCCTTTCCCAGTTTTAAACCCCAAAAAAACCCTATCTCCAGTTCGGTAAACAATAAAGGGGAAATACAGGTCAACACAGACCTAAATAACACAGGTATAAAATGTGGCAGGCACCAACCAACGCGGCTCACATACCATAGCGTTGCACTACCATATAAATTCATTGTATCCAATACCACCTCTATGGGGTCAACCCGTGTCATACATGACACCACAACAACTTGGTGCAAACACACATCTAGCAAAAACACACACAATTGTATATAAATGGTGAAAGTACAATCAATTAATGCACGCGGGCTAAATACACCACACAAACGAAGACTATTACTGGAAGAAGCCCAAAGACACAAAACTGACATACTATGTATACAAGAGACACATTTCGTACGTAATAGAGTACCAACATTTGCAACCAGAGACTTCCCTGTGCAATATCACTCAACATACTCATCCAAATCTAGAGAAGTCTCTGTACTTATACACAAATCCATAACATTTGAACTCTTACAACTAAAAAGAGATACACAAGGCAGGTTTGTCATATTACACTGCAAAATAAATGATGCACAATACCTCTTAGTCAGTGTCTACGGTCCAAATGATAACCAAAGGAATTTCCTAAATAGGATACTAGCAAAACTACCAACTACGACCCACGTCCCCACAATAATATGTGGAGACATCAACCACATACTACAGCCCACATTAGACACTACCTTACCAGCCACATCTCCCACACACAAGACTTTAAGTAAACAAACAACTCCACTGACACGTCTAATCTCAGAATACGGACTCTATGACATATGGCGAACACACCGTCCGGATGATCGGGAATTTAAATTTTATTCCTCAGTCCATAACACTTATTCTAGGATTGACTATATATTAGTGACAGGAGATCTACTACCATATGCAACCCATAGCACCATAGGCGAGATAACTTGGTCAGACCATGCTGCAATATGGTTAACACTCAAAGATAATTTTGCATTCCGGGGGGAAACACCCTGGCGTCTCAATGACACTCTCTTACATAACCCAGAATTCAACCAAATACTGGACACAGAAATAATATCATACTTTAATCAAAACACATCACCAGATATATCACCTGCTACCATGTGGCTAGCACATAAAGCGATAATCCGGGGGCATCACATAAGCAGAGCATCCCATTTTAAGCATAAATCCAATCAAGAGTATATAAATCTGCTTAGATCCCTTAGGGACGAAACATCAGCCCAAATATTAGAACCGTTACCTGAAAGACAACAGCGGATACAACAGTTACAAAAACAGATTAACAACATACATATGTTGAAAACAGTTAATATCATGAATAAACTGAAATTCACCACATACATGCAAGCAAATAAGGCAGGGAAAGCGTTAGCGTCGATACTCAGGCAGAAACATCTGAATGCCAAAATTCCCTTCCTCTTTCATGCGAAGGGAAACAAAATATTTAACCCACAAGATATAAACAATATGATGGCTGACTACTATGATGCACTTTATAATTTAAACACGGACAGCGACACACACCAACCTCTCCCATCTAATATAGACGATTTCTTATCGGAAGTGAGATTGCCTAAGCTAACCCCGGATGACATCTTAACACTAGAAACACCCATCACACTTAGCGAAATACAACAGACAATAAAGACACTTCCTAAAGGGAAATCTCCAGGACCAGATGGGTTTACAAACCTATATTATAAGACCTTCTCACACACGCTAGCACCCCATTTAGAGAAATTATACAATCATATTCTAATCACAGGAACCATACCCCAAGAGATGCTGATAGCTCATATATCAACATTACCCAAACCTGGCAAACCACCCCATAAATGTCAGAACTTACGCCCAATTCCACTATTAAATACAGACCTAAAAATACTAGCCAAAATATATGCTCTTAGACTGGGGAGCATTTTACCATCCTTAATAAAAGATGACCAAGTGGGCTTCGTTAGGGGAAGACAAGGTTCTGACGGGACCAGAAAATTAATAAACCTTATCCATAGTATTCAACAGACAAAGGAACCCAGTGTGGCCTTGTCACTAGACGCAGAAAAGGCGTTTGACAGGTTGCACTGGGGGTACCTGGAGGCGGTCCTTAAAAAATACAACTTCCCAAAACGCTTTCTGACGCTAGTCACAGCCCTATATGATAAACCAATGGCGAAAGTGATTAATGGAGGCTTTGCTTCCAAACAATTCCAAATATCAAATAGTTCCAGGCAGGGTTGCCCACTATCACCCCTACTATATATTCTAGCACTGGAACCATTAGCACAAAATATCAGGGAAAACTGCAACATATCTGGGATAACCATAGGCAACACAACACATAAAATCACATTATTTGCCGACGATGTGATGCTTACTCTGACCAAACCCGAAACATCCCTACTGACACTACAATCATTAATACAGAGGTTCAGTAACTGCTCATACTATAAACTCAATGTTGCCAAAACCCAAGCCATGAGCTTCAACATCAGAAACCCAAGACTTTCAAATCTGCAAGCCGCCTTCACATATGACTGGAGACAAGACCACCTTACCTTTTTAGGAATAGCTCTAACACCACATACACACAAACTGTACCACGCTAATTATGAGAAACTCCTTCGGGAAATAAACAATCAATTGCAGAGCTGGAGGGGGAAATATGTGTCGTGGATGGGTAGAATAGCAGCGGCAAAAATGATGGTGCTGCCCCGCTTATAATACCTCTTCAGGACCTTACAAATTGATCTTCCAAAACAATTCCTTAATAATGCCCAACGAGCTATAAATACGTTTATATGGGGTGGGAAAAAAGCCAGAACAGCAGCAGACGTCTTATACAAACCTTTTAAAAATGGAGGAATGGGGGTGCCGAATGTCTCACGATATTACGATGCGGCCATAATAAGCACACTAGTGCAAATGCACCATCACAAAAAACCACTAGCGTGGAACCAAATAGAAATGGTGCACACTGAGGGGCTATCACTACACACATTGGCCTGGATGCCAGCGGACAAAAGGCCACATTACAAAAAAATATGCCCAACTACGGCAACGACACTGAAAGTGTGGGACTATTTAGTTAAAAAACAACAACCTCGAGCGCGGGTTTCCACAACCTTCCAAAACCAGGCATTAACTATCCTGATCCCAGGATTTGAATATAAAATATGGAACTCCCACGGGGTATTCTGCTTGTCACAGGTACTAGACAACGGGCATATGATAGACTATGACACACTACATAGCAAGTACAATCTCCGATCTACAGCTTTCTTCTCATACGTACAATTGAAATCGTGGGTAAACAAATACTACGACATCACACAAATCCAGGGACACGTGCTCACAGAGATAGAACATTTATGTTTGGCAAAGAAACCACCACAACGACTACTATCCACCCTGTATAGCTTGATCGGGCCAAGCGACCATACAGAACAATTTAAATGTATTAAAGCATGGGAAAAAGAACTTGAACAAACACTGACACCTGAAGACTGGTTACAAACACAGAGGGCACACAAAACACTGACACTGAACACAGCACATATTGAAATCAGTAGGAAAATACTATATCGTTGGTACATGGTGCCAACCAAGATCCACAAAATAGACCGCACAAAACTAGACACCTGCTGGAGATGTGGTGCAGCGCCAGGCAATATGACACATATTTGGTGGGCATGCCCGAAACTAACCACCTTTTGGTCCGAAATATCGGATATCTTAAAAGGCGCTATGGGGGTAAAATTGCCGCACACTCCAATATCCTTCCTGCTACTTATATGGCCCAAAACATTACGGAAACCAGATGCATACATTGCATATCATATTATCATTACAGCCTTAACTGCCATAAGTAGAAGCTGGCTGAAACCTACAACTCCTAGCGTACAACAATGCATAGAGATGGTCGATATAACCAAAACATTTGAAAAGGCAGCAAGAGGAGCACACACATCTAGAGGGTTTTGGGCCTCAGCGTGGAGCAAATGGGAAGCATGGAGTCAACAAAAGAGATGTACTCCCAAAATCCCACAAGCTGAAAACGGTGCAATATAGGCAAAGCAAAATCCCCCTATTATCGTGATACACTCATACCATTAAGTAGAACATTATCCAAATGAACAAGACCGAACTTGCCCCCCTCCCGACTCCCTTCCCACCCTCTCTTACCACCGGTCTCATCCCCTCTCAGTTCATACCACCCCTAGTTCTCAGGCTAAAACAAACTTGCCTCACACTAGCACGGAGGATGGTTATCTACAAACATTGTCATTGGTTTCAAAGAGGTAACTAGGGTGCATACCATGCCATAAAACGAAAAGTAATAGATGTAAGGGAATATGATATGTACCTACTTACACAGAACTGTGATGTGTGAAAAATGGAATAATCTGTCCTGAGACTTCCCTACTTCCCATTTCTCTTCTGTATCCCCACAGCATTTATGTTTACGTATGGCAAAAACAATAAAAATTGTCAAATACAAAAAAATATATATATATATATAATAGCATAATATATACATAAAAAATATAGTACACAAATAAAAATTGTGATGACAAAAAGGGTACCACTTGTAGTGGCAAGCAACTACACAGGGCTGTCTTTAAGGAGGGGCAAAAGGGGCAGCTGCCCCGGGCCCAGTTACTCCTGGGGGCCCTAAGGCAGCTGCCCCATGGGCCCCCTGCAGCACCTGAGGTAATCAGGGGCCACAGCCCTTTAATACTG